AAGCAGACAGAGGTATCCTCATTTCTGGCACCCTCAAAGTACAATGAAAGGATGTTTAAGAGGCATCTGACTAAGCCAGTTACTTTTAACAACAGAACTACCAGTGGACATTTCTCTGCCTGTCATGTTACCTAGGGCTTTAAACTAACTGGAAATATCAATTTCCATGTACTGAAGAGAAGCTGAGAGTACATCAGGCCAGCTTGCAGAAAACTTGGGGTTTTAAAATGAAAAAATTTGCAAATACTGTAATCTTTCTTCTCACTCCTCCCACAAAATATTCATTCAGACATATAATGTATTGAATAGAAACTACTTGTGTACAAAATGCTACAAGGAAGTGTTGTCCAATAGGGATTATCAGTTGATGGCATAGTGTGTAATGTCATATTTCAAATAATGTTCCACTGGCTAAAATTTTGGTTGCTGAGCCCTTACATGCCTTACTGTTTCCTTCTCTGCTGTTCACTTGGAGAACTAGTGAGGTAAAGATTTATTGGATATCTAGACTATGTGCTCAGCTGGAGGTGCTTTTTCATTCCCTGCTCTGAGCCTCCAAACTAATCTGTGAGTATGAATCACTTCTGATCTACAGTTTCTCAGATTTCTGGACAGTGTGAAATATCAGTCTCAAAGCATCTGCATCTCTAAACTCTAAATATCAAACTTTTCTTAATTAACTTTGATTACCTCACTGCTCAAATTGATGCTGAAAGAGGGAATATAAAAGCTAGGGGACTGTTCCTGACATAAATCAACATACTTTCTGTACTGAGCACCTTCTGTTAAAGCTCACATGTTGTACTTAAGGACTTGAGCATTTTTAGTCTTCTTTTCAGGACAAATTTCAGGCAAATAGACAGAGTGACATTTAAACTTCTAAAATCATTAATCTACATTTTAATCAGTTGAAGTTTTACTTCTATTCTGTTTGTCTTTTCTTTTGGTTTCAGTTCTCAAGGTCATATTCATCAATTTCCAAAGCCTTGGCTTTTTGTGAAGCAAGTTAGATGAAGAGCTAAATGATTATTTTGTAGTAAGAAGATGAAAGTTAGATGAACCTTGACGTATCACTCAGGATATAATTCAGCAGTGAATTCATATCATCAGGATTTATCTACTTTAGAAACTAAACAGTTAACATAATCATCTCTTTCTATTACTAATTTAGAAAAGCTTTTTTTTCTTAAGTACACTCTCACTTTTCTGAATTCACTGCATGTGACCCACATCTTTTGTCCACTGCACCATTACCAGCAGCTAATCCCTCTTATTTATTGATAATTGGACAAAACTGAACAACATGCCAACTCCTGAAAACTGAACGCCATTGAAGCCTCTATTCAGGTTTTCCCCTAAAACCACATTAGTTTCCAAGTTCACTTCCTTTGTGGAATATCAATGGGAAAAGAGTTCACAATTCTCTCATGGGTTAGGAATTCAACTAATTCTAACCTGCACATTGCATAACTGTGTGAGATGTAGGAATACGATGTACTAGGGCTCAAAAATGAACACTTGTAGAACAGAAAAGGGAAAACTCATTTAATGTTTTGTTAACCAGTTTGGAACTTGCAATCTTTCCTTGAAAACAAATGTTCATTTTTAGAGTAATGTTGGTCAATGGGTAAGTGGTGATTAAGCAATCAGTATTTGTAAAATATGGCCAGGTCCTTAAAGTTTTAATCGTATTTTTCATCATTATTGCTTTTGTCAAACACAACCTGCATTACTAATACTTTGTCAAATAATCACTACAACATATTCAAGATAATGTTGGACTTCTTACAACTATGTGTCACTGGCAATCATGTTTCTCTACAGGTTTATATAGGTCAATTGCTTGGTGCACAACACGAGTACACACTGAGTAGAAGAAAACAAACAAAAAAGCTGCTTTTGGAAAATTCATAGTTATCAACAGTTTGCAAGCCTCCTAAATGGGAGCTCCCCATGGAAAAGATTGTGATTTAGATGCAGTAGCCACAGCAAGCCATGCTGAACTTCCCCCCTCAACGAAATTTTCTTTTATGCTTTTCTTTATTTGCCCCATCTCTCTACAGCCTTTCAAATACACAGCTATACTGCTCTAAAGTCTAAAGCTGAAGCCATAAGCCTCCTCCCGCAGAAAAAACAAAGAAGAGGATAAAGTTTCTGTGTGGCATTTGACAAGACTGTCTGTGTGTGAAGTCCCACACAGCAGTACCCAAGCAATTTGGTAGTGGGTTATCTTTGGAGCAGGAGGTACTGCATATGGGCTTATTAGTCCTGTCTGTCAGGGCTATGCTACTTTAATGTGGCTTTATAGCTTCTGCGTCACATGCTTGTATCCTCGCTCTACAGACTTAGCAGCTTGCTCAGAGTGCGCTAGAGTACGTCCAACACAGACTTTCATTGTGAGGCATAGACATATTCCAAGAGTCTCTGCTTGCCATTACTCAATTTGAGAAAGGGATATGAGTAATTTTTCTGTAGTGAGGCTGGCTTTTAGCTAGGGAATTTAGGAAGCAGCATCACACAGTGATCATTCAGAAGCAGATGAAAAGAATCTTCTCCATCACCATTTTTTTTTCTCTGTCAGCTTCCCTGGCAAGAAATCATGTCTCATTTTTAAGAAATAGATTTTTTTAAAGAAAAAGTGACTGTTCCCAAACAGCCTAGTATAAAGGAGCAGAAAGAAATGTTATTTACACATGATATGAAACAGAGTAATTTATGGGTTTTAATCTTGCAAATAATTTCAATCATATATTCAGAGCATATCACCATTGTCTGTCAACTTTAATTTCAGAAATTGGAAAGTATAATGGCTTTCCTTTTCACTTACAGGGGGGATGAATGGTATTTTTAGGGTTTATTAAGGAGAAGCTGGAGTGTCTCCATAACACAGCATTCATATCTGCAAAAGCCAAGAGTGTACCTTTGCCCTCTAGCTCTGAGAGGAGATGTTGCCAACAAATAAAAAAAACCCCAGTAATAATCTCACAGGGCCAAAAGACATAAATATGATCAAATCCTTTAGTTATTTTATGTTGACAGGCTTACTGATACCAGTTTGGAGTTTCATTAACTTCCATAGGCAAAAATAGTAATTCACATTGCTCTCACTGAAGTCAATGGGAGAAAAACTAAGATCAAAACTATCCTCATAGTGAACTTAATAATTTTCTTTTTTTTAGAGTGTGATTTTTTTGTGTGTTTAATTTTAAATGTACAGAAAAATCAAAAGCTTAGAAGCAAAAGCTTTTGCTGGATTAAGAGCATCTAAGACGTAATTATGTCACTCACAAGTCAAATAAAATGCATACTAATTATCTGTAATTTAAAAATTCTAACAAGAAATTTTGTTCAAACCTTGCAGAACTTGGCCCTTACCCTGAAATTAAATATGAGAATAAAGTAAGTAGTTCTTACCACAGGAAAAATTACATTAAAATATAGTCTGAAACCTGCATGATAATCAGTAGCAATGTAATCCTGCATCCAAACAAAGAGCTAAATTTTTTGGCTCCCATCTTCCTATTGTTTTAACCTCTTGAGCATTGCATCCTATCAACAGGAAGGGAAGAAAAAGCAGAAGAAAGATGTCACTGTGTGGCTGTGGAGAATGGCCTCCACAAACTACCTCTAATCTGGTACCTAAAAGCACTGAAAAAATTAAGTTTCTGTGAAAGGGCTAAGAGAAAGTTTAGCAATATTAAATTCAAATTAATACTAAAAAAATACATGAGAAATTATGATCCTATTCGTGGCTGCATTGGTAATATGTATACGCCGCATGAGCATGGGTTTGAGACAGCAAAAATAAAGCAATTGTTGACAGTTGCTATTGTTGTCCATAGAGGAGTACTTTCTGCAACAGCTAGATGGGAATAAGTAACCCATATTCAGTGGTTAATATCTTTACACATACAGTGTTTGCCAATGATGATCCAGGATCTTACTTTCAAGTAATGAAAATGGTTAGCGGTGTTAGAAATTTTTCTGATGTTATCAGTCAGGATGGATTTGCAGGCTTAGTCACATTCAGGAAAAATCCTATGTTGTTCAATTAAAAAAAATATTTCTGGTTTCTGCATTGTTTGTTTAAAAATGCTGCATTCAGAGCAAACCCTGTGTATCTAGAAGATACACAGAATGACAGAGTGTTGTATAAACTCAGAAATGAGGTGCATGAAGTAACACTGAAACAAAATTAGCACTCTGGAGGGCTACATTATAGTAAACTAATTTGGGATATTACCAATGGTCAATATTTGTACTCAAACTTCTCAAGCCCTATTTCTTATATACAGGCTTCTAAATCCACAGTTGGTCAACTAGGAGATTTTCACATTATGTAAGTTTAAACACCTGGTTTTGGTCCATGGCATAGAGGATGGGTCTTCCTACAGTACATGGAGAAACCTGGAAGGCTGAGTTAGGAGCCTGACAATCTCCAGCGACTTAAAACTTCAGTGCGGTAAGTCACCTTTAAGTTCACCAGTTCTTCAGGAGAAAATGAATACTCACAACGCTTGATTAGGAATAGAAGGGATAGATCCTAACACAGAAGTAAGAGAAAAGAAGCAACAAAACAGCTGACCACTCCCTAAACAAAATACGTGCCTTTGCTTTTACAATAATTGTAATTATACTAGGTTTCTCACATCCAAGAGAAGAAGCCATTAGCAAGGTTTCCTTTACATTTCTTTCATTTCTTTCTCAGCTGTAAAGCCTAGGTAATGTGAAAACACTATAGTACAACTGCCAAGAATATTTTTCATCCTGACAATAAGACAAAAGGTTCACTAATCACTTAACATTTATCATCAACTCAATCAATTCTTGACAGAGAATGAAGGTGGACTGTTTGATATTTAAAGGCACTGTATGCTTGGGGGATATTGAATTATCCAAAGATCATTTCTAAGGGAAAAAAAAAGAAAAAAAACCAGAAAATAACATACCATTTATGAAGACTGAAAGTTTCTTGTATGTAGGTCCTAGATGTAACTTACCTTTAACCTTGAGTGTCTCTTATTTCCTTTCCCACTAGCCATGAAGGCAAGAAAAATGAGCAAAGGGTCCAAATTGGGGACACTGTAGCTAACAGAGAATGAAATCAAAAATTATTTCAAATTCCGAGTTTAAAGAGTTAAAGAAGTAATACTATTTAAACAGGGTTGCAGAACTCATATTAAAAATGGCAGTACTATAAATGTTCTAGTATTGTCAGGAATGTTCTGTTGGATGACACTATACTGTGATTTGTACACACAGCGGACCAGAGCTGATGGGTGAATGAAATGATCCATAACCCTCACTGACACATTTAGAGCAGTTCAGCTGCACACAGAGAACAGTCCATCATTTGCACCCTTCTGTGAAAGCTGGCTTTACCAAGTGTTTCAATGAAATATGTGCAACTTCCCATTTAAATTAGTACCACATGAACCATGAAGAGCACCACAGGTATCTGTTGTAGTACCAGCCTAATGCAAAAGTGGCCTGTCTTGTAATGCTCTAACAGGAAAGACATACAACCATTCATCTGTAACATATTAAAACCAGAAGAAATAAATTACTCTATAGATGAAGAATTATTGCTTGTGGAGAGAATGTGCAAAGGTAGTTCTAAAAAGCAGCTTTTACTAAAAAATTATTGCAACAGCATTTGAATTCCTAATGCATATTAAACCTAGTTCACATAATCATAAATCATCATTTTTAAATCAAGAAAATCTGCTTGAAACTTTTTAGAGGTTTATTTTACTAGTTCAGAACTATTTCAGCATTACCACTGAGGGAAGCACAATAAGAGTGACTGTAAGGGTGAAATATAAAACTCAACCATTTGCCAAGAAAAAATTCTTTAGTCTTGAGTTTTTCACATTTACCAGTAAGAGCTGCATAAGTGACTGAAACTGTCCTGTGAACATACAGGTGACTAAAATGAATTGAATTCCTATGGGTGGATTTGACCTCCTGTGCAATAGCTTTCCTTAAACTGACTCATGTAGTCTAGCCAGTTAGGCAGAAGATTTAGAAAAAGCAATGAATTTACCCAAATGCTACAAAGTGTTTATATTAAATTAATTTTATTGGGAAAAATTAATCTCCAAAAGCTCATTCTAAGCAATGCACCTAATGCTTGATAAATCCTGAGATGAACACAAACTGGTGTTTATGTTGGTGAATACTTAGTAGATTCAGGGTAGTGTGTAGGAGCTGATGCACACACACCTTTTGCTCTTGGATTAGGAAACAGTACCACTACCTATAATGAAGTAGTCCTACATCTGCCGACCAGTCTAGAGACATGTTACTCACTGATAGTTCTGAATATAAAACCAAGGAAAAATGGGGTATCTTCTAGTCCAAATTTTCAAAAATGTGGCTAGAATATCAAATACAGGATGCTAAGTAGCCTCTGGGAAATCAGTGCTGCTCCAGCTGCATCTGGCTAGAAAAGTTCTGTCATTTCTGAAAATAAGACCTTTGTCTTCATTTCTAGCAGTGGCTAGAAAGGTGGCATCAGGTCCTGCCTTTCAATAAAACAGAGTATTTTGCACTAGTATCTGGCCTATATACAATAACAGTGTACTTTGCATGAATGAATATTCTTACATTCAAATAGTCTTACTGTTGGTATAAATTTCAAAAAGAGAAAATGCTGCAGCAGGATACTTGATCTGAAACACACTTTGCAAAGCCAGTTTTGTCCTAAACCGATGGACTAATATGCCTTGCTTCTCACTTGCAATTTTCAGTAATTGAAAAGTACAACTCAGTCCTTTGACTTCAGGCACCAGGTGAAGACAAACAAAGGAACAGATAGCTGAGCTGCACACCCATTTAGGGAATAGGTGATTTAAGAGGATGCAAGGAGAGAAGGCATGGGATGATCAAAAGAAACAAATCAGTCCTACATAACAAACAGACTGCTAGTGCTAAGTAATATGTAAGTTCCATGCCTATTTAATGAATTTTTTTGCCCCATGAGTGTTAGGCATTACCAGTAAAACTCAGATGATAGAAGCAAGATTGTCTCCTGCAATTTTTCTCAAGCCATGCTGACTGCCCTTTTGCTCCTAGCTCTGCGGTCTCTCGGATGCAAATGTAAATCTGAAGTAAATTTGAAATAAAAAATAATTATGCAAAACTGCCACTTTTAGGTTGTGTACAGTCAATTAAATAGAATACTATCGTAAGATATTCAAACAGCATAAGTCTGGAACTGCTGTAATTTTGTGAATGATATCTAAATAATCTTGGTGATTGAGAGTCATTATATCACTAATCTTGCTCTAGCAGATACAAAATACAGCTCCACATTTAATGAAATCTCTATGGTATTTCTGTCTTTGCTTAATATAACAGAATTTCTAAAGTTAATGTGTTTGTGATAGTTGTTTTTAGCCTCAGTTCTTGTTTTATTATTATGTGAGCTCATATCTGTATTTGATCTAAATGGTCTACATGATTGCAGTGGTGGGTTGACCCAGCTGACAGGTAAGTCCCTACCCAGTTGCTCTCTCACTTTCCCTCATCAGAATGGGGGAGGGAATTGGAAGACAAAACCAAGAAAAGCATGTGGGTTGAGATAAAGACAGCCTAATTAGTGAAACTAAAGCACTGAAGTGATTTCACCATTGTTCTATCACAAAAAAAAAAAAAACCACCAAGCAAAAAAAACGAAAAAAAACCCAAAACACAGCACCATTCAGGTTACTGTGAAGAAAAAAAAATTCTATCCCAAACAGGCTCATTACAATGATTTTTGTTACAGTCATTATTTAAGAAATCTCCCAGACAAGATTCCCTTTGTGCTGACTGGAAGTTTCCACATAAAAAATTCAGAAGAAACACCCTGTATTTCAGATAAAGAAATACAGTTTATGTTGCTTTCTATATTTCTTTTTCTCTCTGGTTAGGACAATAATAATGAGTGCTAAAAGATATATCAGTTTTATCATTAAAATTTACTATTAGTCATACAGAATTAAAAAATGGCTGAGTTTAGAAGGCATCTCTGGAGATCATCTAGTCCAAGCCACCTGCTCAAGCTACAGCAGGTTGCTCAGGGTGATGCTCAGTTTAGTTTAGAATATCTCCAAGGATGAAGACTACAACTTTGCTGAGCAATCTGTTTTAGTCTTTGACCATCCTCATAGTTAAAAAAGCTTTTCCCTGTGTTTAGGTGGAATTTCCAAAATTTCGGTTTGTGCACATCACCCTTTGTTACTGAGCATCACCAAGAAGATCCTGGCTCTGTTGTACCTTACTCCCCCACCAGGTATTTACATACATGTATAAGATGCCCCTGAACCACCACTTCTCCAGGTTGAACAGTCCTATCTCTCAGAGAGAAATTCTCCAGTCCTTAATTAGCTTCAAAGCACTTTGCTGGACAGGCTCCGGCATGTCCACGTCTCTCTTGTAGTGCAAAGACCAGACCTTGACCCATAACTCCAGATATAACTCACCAAAGCTGAGACAAAGGATCTCTTCCTTCAATCTTCAGGTGATGCTTTTCCAGCCCAGGAGGCAGCTGGCCTTCCTTGCCAGAAGGGAATACTGCTGGGTTTTTTTCTGAAGAGCTGCTTTCCAGCCAGTCAGCCCCCAGCAGGTACTGGTGCCTGGGGTTACTCCTCCCCAGAAGCAAGACTAGTCATTTTCCTTTGCTGAACTTCAGGAGACTCTTGTCAGTCCATTTCTCCAGCCTTTTGAGAGGCCTCTGAAGAAACAGCCATTTGGTGTATGAAGCACTCTTCCCAGTTTTGTATCGTCAGCAAATTTGCTAAGGGTGCACTCTGGCCCATCACCCTGGTTTTTAATTAAGATGTTAGACAATACTGGCCCCCAAGGGTTCATATACTTGGCTCAGCTACTCTACCACATGGATCAAATGGTCACCCCATGGTCAGTTGGTGCCAGATGGTTGAAAAGAATACACACACTCCGATCTCACATGTAGAAAATATGAAATTATTTGCTCTCCATACAAATATATAAGTAACTGCTGACAGGCAGATATTGTCCAAAACCCTAAAGCATGAATTTAAATTCATGCAATTTATTTGATATTAACCTACTAGAATCAGACCTTCCTTATAATTTATCTGTAGATCAGGGACGCCTAATCACAAATTGCATAGAGGTACACACACAGGTAATTCTAAATAAGTATGGGGCTTTTTTTCCTTAAGAATGGGGGGCTTTCGTGTTTGCTTTTGGGTTTTATTGTTTTTTTTTTTTAATTTTTCTCTATAATCATTACAGCTCCCTGTAAACAGGCCATGACAATTAGAGGTATGCTCTCTACAAAGTACTTATTATTGCATTGAATTGACCTTCATCCCTACCCTTTGGTATACCATGGACAGTATCACTACGTTCTTTTGGGATTGGAGTGATGGTCCTGTCAGCACCTGTCATAACCTTCCCACTCCATTGTGCATTGCCAAAGAGATGAGAAAGTCTGGAGCGTGAGGTCACTAAGGGCAAGAGAAAAAAAGAGAAATTTTCTTCCCTTATTTTGGGGGATACCTCCAGATTATGTAATATTAGAGTTCACTGGTTGTATTTGAAACAGAGATTGTGACAATCAGCCTGAATGGTGGACAGTTTGGGTCAAGTTCAAACCTCTGTAAAAGTCTCCTTAAAGTAATAGAACCTGAAAGAATATTGAATTATTACATTGAATTAATATATATTTTTAAAAACTAAATTAATATATTCCTTGACATATGTTAACTGTGCATTCTAGAAATAGAGTAAGGCATCACTACAAATTGCAATATATATTAAAACAAACTAAAATAGATTTGGGGCCTTTTTGTTTTCACACTGTCTGTTAAATTCTCAACTCTACATTACATAGAATAAAGAGGAATTATTGATACACCTTTCTAATTGTATTGAAATTTTTCATTGTTTAATGTATTCTTATAATTTCTTCCTTCCACACAGAAATTTTATGAATTTCTATGTTTCTTACACTGTTAAATCTATTCACTACATTAGCTGGGATTTGCCACAAGTATGCGTGCCGATCTGTAGTCCAGTAACCAAATTACAAGTCTGGTCTTGTATGAGTTGCTTGG